ACAATCAAATATATAACAATACAACAATCAAATATATAACAATACAACAATCAAGTGTAACATTACAACAATTAAGTATACAATACGTATAATAATCAAGTGTTTCAATATAAGGATCAACAACAATTCTGTTATTATATGACTATTGAAAGTATCAACGTAAACAAATCCATGTATTTTAACGAAACGACAATAAATAAGCACAATTTGAAAATTGATAGTGACCATAAAATAATATTTAGTACAATTTAACCACCGATTTTAACAATGCAACACTACTTCAATCAACAGTTACAGGTATTGTGCAAGAAATTTATTATATTATCCAGGACAACAGGGACTCGGCATCGAGAAATAACACCATATTCGGATCAACAAAGTTAATTGTTTATCTGTTTTTTGTTTTCAAAGACGGAGCTTAGCGATGGAAAATCTGCCATTTTGATTGGTTAACAATTTACTCCGCCATGGTATAACCGATTTCACTATATATAGGACGGTCGATACCAAACTCTGGAGAGGTGACCGGAAAGCGATGATAATCTTTCGTGTAGGTGTTCCATAATCATTGATTCCTTTCCCAGTACATATGTACCAGATTTCAGCCAATCAGAGATAAGTATGTGAAGTCTATTTACGAGCTTCAGCGAATAGTTTTTATTTTCATTTTGAAGGGGGGAGGGATTAATCAAAATCAGCTCTCACGAAGTTCGTAACTGGTTCTTTCAATAGCCTTTATATTAACAAGCTTTCGTTTTCTGTATCATTTTACTCTTTTTATCTATATATTATTTTGTGTATGACGTGACGTCATAATATATGTTTAACGACGGAATTAGAGGTTATCATATGATTATACCGTTACGTGTATCTATATCATACTCCGTATCTGCCCGATACTCCATAACCAGCCCGGGGGCACACAGAAAAAAAAATATTTCACGAGCTTAACTATAATCAAATTTTACCCACAGTGTGTGAACACTACCAGTTTGAGGTGTGATTTTTCTGAAAAGTGTTGAACCGGATATTAAACGGATATGGCGTGCAAGGCAGATATGGCGCGCGCCTGGCGGATATGGGTTGGTTCGTGATATGCTCTTCGCACAGACAGCATTATGACACGTGCAAAAAAAACATACCACGGACATGTATATGATAAGAATTGTTACGTCATGTAGACAAAAGCTATTCCATACAATGAAATTTTTAAAAAAGGCACCGATAAACTGTATAACAATTATTGGAAAACAATTATCTGCAATGACTATATAATACTATAAAATACGTGGTCATGGTAATTTATTGGGTTTTTCATAACAATTTGGATTGTTTTAGTTTCACGTTTCGCCAGTGTAATATAGTGTATTTACATCACAGTAGTGGATTGTTCGAGTTAATGTTTACACTGCATCAGTAGATTGTTTCAGATTCACGTTTCGTGGGTGTAAATTTGTGTATCGAATCCACGTGCTGTAAATGTTATTGATGCGTTTAACACTTTGGTAGCATGTCTTAGATTCACGTTTCGTGGGTGTAAATTTGTGTATTTACACTATGGTCGAAGATTGTTTAATATTCCTGGGGGTTTTGGTGTAATTTACACTTACAGTAAACGATTGTTCGGATTCACGTGCCGTAAGTGTAATTTTATGTTTTAACACTATGGTCGAAGATTGTTTAATATTCCTAGGGTTTTGGTGTAATTTACACTTACAGTAAACGATTGTTCGGATTCACGTGCCGTAAGTGTAATTTTATGTTTTTACACTATGGTCGAAGGTTGTTTAATATTCCTAGGTTTTTGGTGTAATTTACACTTACAGTAAACGATTGTTTCGGATTCACGTGCCGTAAGTGTAATTTTATGTTTTTACACTATGGTCGAAGATTGTTTAATATTCCTGGGGGGTTTGGTGTAATTTACACTTACAGTAAACGATTGTTTCGGATTTACGTGCCGTAAGTGTAATTTTATGTTTTTACGCTATGGTCGAAGATTGTTTAATATTCCTGGGGGTTTTGGTGTAATTTTCACTTACAGTAAATGATTTTTTCGGATTCACGTGCCGAAATTGTAATTAATTGTTTAAGATTCCCGTTTCGTGGGTGTAATTTTCATTTACAGTAGAAGATTGTTCCGGATTCACGTGTCGTTAGTGTAATTAATGTTTTAACACTACAGTAGTGGATTGTTTAAGATTTCCGTTTCGTTGGTGTAATTTTCATTTACAATAGAAGATTGTTTCGGATTCACGTGTCGTTAGTATAATTAATGTTCTTTACACTAGAGTAGGAGAATGTTTCAGATTCACGTTTCGTCGGTTTACTTCAGTCTATTTACTCTTACATAGGAGAGTGTAAGTAATGTTCTTTACACTAGAGTAGCAGAATGTTTCAGATTCACGTTTCGTCTGTTTAATTTAGTGTATTTAACTTAAAGTAAAGGAATGTTTCGGATTCACGTGCCGTAGGTGTAATTTTATGTTTTACACTGCAGAAGTAGATTGTTTTAAATTCACGCTTCGACAGGTTGTTTTTGTCAACAATGTAGTTTACTTGATTAACACTTGCAGTAGCAGGTTGTTCCAGATCAGAGTGTAGTCAGTGTAATCTTACGTCCTTACATAACTTTTAATGGAGAATCTCTTCTGCTAAACGTGTGTGGTGATGGACTGCTAAAGTTTAATCAATATCTCGCTTTCCGTTGTCTCCGTTAGTTGGGTGGTTCGTACATGTACACGGCATGCATTGCCTTCCCTTTCCTATTTTAATGACAGTTTTATTTTGATTTAACACGTTTTATTTCTTTACGAACGTGACAAAAGTTGGGAATGTGAACATTTTTATCCTCTTGATTTCATTCTGAATATTATAGTGGCCTTACCCTAACCGTTTCGTAAGTGATTAACGCTCGTTAGCAGTAGATTTCCGTACGGTTTTTCCATTAGTGTGTCAACGTGGACAGGATGATATTTTGATGGCCGTATTATTACTCTTGTGTCCAGCGTGCGTCCGTCACGATGACCAGCGGCCGTGTAGTCAGTCCAGTACGTATTACTCTGACAGATGGTTGACAGACAACAGATTTACATTAATACATATAAGGTATATGTATATTTAATAATTTGACCCATATATTAATAATGATATATAACAGCTTCAAACTTCATTATTCTGCTTTTTTTCCAATAATAAATCATTTTCAAAATGTAAATGACATTTGGATTATGACTGCATGGCAAACGTTTTATATTCAGATATTCAGTTCGTAGTGAAATAAAGAAATACTCTCAAATATTTCAAAATGTGGACTCAACGGAAGTCTACAAAGTCTCCTTCACATTCTGCACGCGGTGTCGATTTCAAATGAGTCGTAAAACATGGTGAAATATATCGTGACCTTGTTGACCTCACACCTGCCCTCCAGACACGGAAGTCGGAGATATTCTACACATTAGTAAGCCGTGAATGGACCGCCCCGACGTAGTAGTATTAACTTTGCCACCTCGGGCGATCTTAACGCTCTATTATCAGTAGAATTACCATGGCCGAGGTCTTTATCCAGACAGAAATAGATTTGACGTAATCAATGTGAGAGAAAAGTTCCTCAAAGAAGGACAGTGAAGGTTGTGTCTGGTGCATACATCTTAACCTTATCATTGACGAGACATACTCAGAGCAAATTACCGTCGTACATATGTACATTCCGAATTCACATTTCAAACACTGCAAGTTTATAACAATGCTTAAAAATACCCAAAATCATCGATAACCTATCGTTTACTTACCAGATCGAAATATTTTGTAAATATAAATAATTTATTTGAATATATTATTTTTTATTCTATAAGAAATAATGATTATGCGATATTACATACTTAAAAATACCCAAAATCATCGATAACCTATCGTTTACTTACCAGATCGAAATATTTTGTAAAAATTTGTATTCTATAAGAAATAATGAGTTTGTGATATTACATACAAGTAAGCTATAACAATGAACTTATGCAGAAAATAATTTGAATTTTGAAAAGCCGATTACAACATTATTCATAAGTACGTTTTTACTACTAAAAAACGAATTGACTCTAGACCTGCATGCAACGTCACAGGGCCAAACCGTACGTGACCGGTATCAAGTTGTCGCTACGTGTTGTCACGACAGGGTATACGTATACGTGCTTAGAATAACGAATAAATCCCTTTGCGTAAGATTTCTGCGGATATTTTTTCCTCAATCAAGAGACAATGAAAACTGTATTATTCATGATTTTGTTCATTAAAAGAAAACTAGTCGTCCGCAACGTAATATTGTTAGAAATGTCAGAATGCTTGGCCGATACATATGGTAATTGTCTACGTTACAATTGTATGTGCCAACGCGTACGTATTTGTTTAATACACTCAAATAATATTTTGAAAACAAAACTAAATAATAAAAAGATTTGACATTTACGCTACTGGGGCCTGTGCATGAATAATAACACTTTATGATTTTAGGTTTCAAACTGTTTATTTCAACGTTATTGAATTATATTTTACTACAATGTGAAGTCGGTAAGACAACCTTTAGTATTTCATTTTACACGATTAAAACGTTAACTTTACTACAATATAAAGTCGGTAGACAACCTATAGTATTTCATTTTACACGATTAAAACGTTAACTTTTTTAGACAGAACAAAAATCAAGATTTTAAAACGGTTGTTCAAAATAATTCCAACATTACGGTGGTCAAGAGAAAAATGAAAGCAGAACTGACCACGAAAAATGGTGTTTAGCATGGTATAAGAACTTCAATATTCCTGTAAAGCGGTTCGACTCTGGTCACCAGATACGGCATATACAAACCAGAGACTATCGATCGTATCACAATTCCAAAGGGGCGCGGCCTTCTTACGCAGAATACACCCCTGTATATATACATTAGCGAATGACAGGCCGTTTTGCCACGTGCTGACGTCACCACAAGGTATAAATGGACGGAAGGAGAGCTAAATGGACATAACGACTCGACACGTACAGTGAAATACATATATACTTGTATCGGATCCCGGACAAACACATTTGAGCTTACTACACGGATTATAAAAAATTGTTAACATTTTTTTCTCGGGATTTTTGATTTGAGGTAAGAAACATTATATTTCTATTCTATGTTGGGGGGTTTTGAAGTTATGAAATCAAGACTTACATAAGTTGATGGTGAGTTCTAACAATACATGATGAAATAGATCGAAATGTTGAATAATTAATCATAAAATAATTGATATTTACACCTAAGAATATTTTGGACAAATTTCCTTACTTCAGCATAAAATATTTTCTGCTTGGGTTTTCAACTTTATATATATATATAGTGTTCTTTGTTTTATTTTTCATTAATGATTTATTTATTTGTTTGATTTGATATTATTACAGATTATTTATACGAGGAATGGGCAGCAGTGCGACGATTTTGGGCTATCTGGTGTCCCTCTTGCTGTGTTTGTCCCTATCGGCGGGCAGATATCTGGTAAGTACATTTTCCGACGTTGCGACTACGAATTAAAACGTATTAATTACTTAGACAGGCGGACTTCTATAAGGCCTCAGGCGAGCACGAGTCTAGAAGGTTCTGGAAACATTCAATATTTTTTTGATAACTGCTTAAACATCACAAATCCCAGTTTCTACAATCTTGAAGTTATATATAAAAAAAAGAATAAGACTTGTTTCTAAAATCTTGAAATTATCGGGATAAAAGCAGTGATTTTTTTATATCTGTTTCTTCTGTAGTTTCAAAGTAAGTGTGCCGAAAAAATCTTCATAAAGAATGTGGCTGAGAAATTCTTTACTACAAAATCGTGAATGCTGGTCTTAATAATTCTCTTATACGAAGGGACATATAGATCCGAAAACAATTGAAGATAACTTTTTAAAACAGAACGATACATAGAAACAAAACATCGGTTAGAACTGAGAATATTACTGTGGACATATATTGGATGAAGAATATCATAACAATTTTTCTTACTGCTCGAAATTCTGTCGACAAATAATTTTCGTAATTCACCATAGTGTGTGGCGTTATGAATGGATTTCTCTAGAAACGCATGCGTTGGGTCGTAGTATGGCGATAAGCACCTGTGTCGCACTCTTACACGGGGTCACCCGGAGCGACACTCCCATACTTCGGTCTACTGCTTCTGTTCACAAGTGACGCATTCCTGCTAGCCGCGGGCTCACATTCCACGTAGTAGAATGTAGTTGTAATACACTCCATTCATAAAAGCGCATGGCCTGTGTGGCACATTGCCTCACTGCCCTACTTGGCTGTATGCCAAACTATTTGGGTCACGAGTTAGAACCCCGAACGACTTGGCGTACAGCCAAAAACCCAAAATGACGCAACTGTTAGACTGTAAATTTTAATTAATTTACTTTTATTTAAATAGTATGTAAAATTACCTGATAACTAAATAGCACAGGCCAGATTCATGAGTAACGCGTGCCAAATTAAACCCAAATCGCAGAGTAAGGAACCAGTTATCCTCTGTCACATGGATTGATAATTTTCATTTTTCATTTTGCATTGCAGGAAGCAAGATCTCCCTACGGAACAGCAAAGCGACAATCACGTAGGTTTTATAATTATTTATGTATGTTATATAAAATCAAAAACGAACATGAAGCTTCAACATTTTTAATATCATTTAGATTATTTATATTAAAGAAAATTCCTCTTGGAATACCTTAGTGCGCCTACGAATGTTTTGTACAGTAAAGGATTTTTCCCAAGGAATTAAAATACATTTTAAACTAATAAATAGTTATTGTATTCAGATTTCATTTTTTAAATATCTTTTTTTTTTTTATTTATTCCAGCACGCAAATTAGGTCTTGATTTGTTCTTTAAAAAGAATGGCGATTTACCCGAAGACACGATCGTTTTTGGAAAAAGTGCGGTGTTAACTTGTCAGGCGGGAGGCACTCCTCCGCCAACAATTCATTGGGTGAAAGATGGTCATCGCATAGAACAGGTAACTAGAATTTAATTTTAAAAGAAATTGTGTTAAAATTGTGTGAACTTGTGTTACAACGCCACTGTAGAAGAAATGAAATTCTAAAAGGTTTAACAATTTCTAATTGAATGTCTTCTACAGTAGACTAAAACAATCTTATCTTATTCTGTGCTTCCATGATCGCATTTTATTTATATCGATAACATACCATATCTGGTAATTCAGTATTAAGACAATCGTATATATGATATCATTGTATTGATCAACTTAAAATATTGTTGGGGCGTAGTTAAAGTAACAATTTTCGTAACCGGGCATCTTGGAATAATGGCCACAACATCTGTCATTTGTAAGTTATATGTTTATCGGAGGCAAACATCATTCTGGCCGGAGGTTGACCGGTCGTGGTCACACGATAACTGTGTATCCAAATGCCGTCGTTTCGGGTCCTAAGATATCTTGATGGTCTAATGTTACAAGGGACAGTGTGATAAGTCTAAATTGACCATTGTTTGTCGCAAACATTAATAAACATGTTGATTTTGCTATTTTAGGGTTCACCGGATATGCTTTCAAATACAAACGACGAGGCGTTTTACGAAGATGTTGTTGATAAGGAAGGGCGTCCGTTACTTAGGAGGAGCTATACCAAAGCCTTGCTTTATCTGGACTGTATCACAGCGGACATGGAGGGAGATTACTCGTGCGTGGTCGACACGCCTACTCGGAGGATAACGAGCACCACATCACTCCGCGTAGGTAGGTAAACCGGAGTATTATGTATTCAGATAAAACCAGGTGAAACACGCTTTAGAATGGTCTATATAGGGCGCTATATCAAATGTTATATATCAGTGATATTGAAAGTGTCCAGGTATTGATTTGTGTCCTGAGGCGTGTTAGTGGACTTTCATTGTTTACCAAGAATTACGTCATGGTCCTTAACACAGGTAGCCAATCACACGCAGCAAGTGACATTGCGTCAGAAATACGGCACAGGAAAAGAATCACTAAAAATCCTATTATCCAAAATCAATAAATATGTAATAAATAACTAATAACAAGGTTAAAAACAGACAAATTATAACTGAAATGAAATAACATTTAATATTTTTTTTATTTATTTGTTAACAGATAGACTTGTTGACGATAGCACGGACTTAGATAAATTCCGTGACGATAGTGAAGAGAAGAGCTGTCTGGTAAAGAGATCGTTTACTGGTGAGTAATATATCTCTCTTTTTTTTGTTGATAAATACATAAAAATGAATTAATTCCTTGAAAGTAATTGATTTACACAAAAAAAATCTATTAAATTACATAAAATTTGAAATCTTGTTTTCTATTTAATGCATCGATAACGAGGCTGACAAGACCCTGTCAACTGTTACTTATCGTCTCGTTCTATTTTTAGATGAAATGTCAGCACGGATATACCTTTGGACAAGTAACCGAGTGGAGAAAAGTGGCGCCACCATTCAACTGTTTTGCCGCGCGGAGGGATTTCCTAAACCCCGAATCACGTGGCGTACACCATCTCGAAAAGAAATCTCAGAGAGCGATCCTGGATATGGGGTGAGACTTAATTAAACGTTTTTCACTGTCAATTGAGCTAATGATTATCAAATACACTATTGAGTTATTATACACGTTTTTACCGCTTCCGCAGGTAAATTTTGAGGAAAACTTTTGTTCAAACAGTTTGCTTATTTTGCCAAATACATGTACGATGTTTTTTTTTTGTTTTTTTTAAATAAACTTTTGCGATGTAATTCAATTCAAGCATCTTAAATATCTTAATATGATACACTATTTATACGATACTGACATTAAACAGCATACTTATTGGATTTTTTATTTATATCTACAGCTTTTACCAAACGGCGATCTTCTAATTCGAAACGTTCGATGGAGCCACATGGGTGTATTTACCTGTATAGCAGATAACGGTTCCGGGGCAGATACGAAATCGACATTTGTATATCCGGTAGGTGTCAACATTTTACGACTCATAAAACAAATAAACAACTTCATACATGTAATATGTTTCAAATAATAATAATTATAATCATATACAGCATTTCATTTTGATATAGCGCCCTACCTAGCTAACATAAGCCTAACTAAAGCGCTTTACAGTACATAGATATACAATTGATACAATTTGCAGGAGCTGCCTTTTCAGGCGCTTACTCCTAGTCCTATGCCACCTGGCTAATATCTCCCTATGTGTGTATGCCTGTGTGCGTGCTGGAGATTTAATGTGTTTATTTGTTTACAATTTTGCAAATTATATTAATTGGAGATTTAAAAAAAAATGTTAGTCCAGAACGATATCTTTTATAAGAAATAATATAACTTGATTTTTATTCTTCTTTTTTTATTCCCAGACCAAATGAGTGAAGTCGACTGCCCATAACGACGCTGTACGTGTGTGGCCGTGGTGACGGCCTGTACTATCCATGGTGACGGCCCTTTTGTACGTGGTTACCTTGGCGACGAACTGTCTCTCTCTTACTGTGATGTTTTCAGTATTTATTAGCGTTGTTAAACTGTGTCAATTACATCTAAACAAAAGTATCAAGCCGACAAGGGGCCATGGAGAAGACGATGAAAATGTTTTCCGTAAAACTACAAGAGACGAGATACGATACGCAAGACGATATTATAAACATTACAATGCCGATCTAGTCACGTGACGTGGAGAGGAGGCGTACGCTCTCGGACACAACATTAAATCAAAGACAAACCTGTTTATTTATTTTTTTGGAAAATGTGCAATGAATTGTTGGTGTTCTGTGTTTTTATGAACTCGTTCGCATTCTCATCAATTTCATATCTCATGGATCATCGCAAGAATATTTGTGAAACTCATTAATACCAGTAAAGAATTCCAAGAGTTTCGACGACATGGATTTATGTCTCCATCTTACAGGGATCAAGAAAGTCCGAAGGGTTGTGTTGTGGGGGAGACAAATGACATATCATTTCTACCAATCATAATTGTGCTCACATTTTGTATTGTGCCATTTCCTGTTCAAATGAATTTATTTATTTATTGAAATAAATCTTTAATTTTATTGTGTTTCAAATCACATTACAAGTAAATGCTCAATATATTGACTGTTTATCATGTTATGTGTAAATAAATGTTTCAATTTATTAAATTTCTCTTGGGTGATTCTTTATGTGTAAATGTGCGCATTTTGTTTTGATGATAAATTCAAGACATTCAACATCTCATAGACTGTGAATTCAACTGCCTCTAATTGAAATATATTCATTAGTAATATTCAACGTCTAGTTATCTACACGAAAAAGAGTTTACTCATAAAAAATGTATTGCTTCGCATTGAATTGATAATATTCATTAGTAATATTCAACATCTAATGTTCCGTACGAATAAGAACAAATCGTGATAATTCATTTGCCTCGCATCGAATTCATAATATTCATCAGAAATATTTTAAATTCCGTATACTGTACAGATAAGAATTTAATTATTATAACTTAACAATCTTATGAATGCAAAATTACCGTATTTAGTAATTACTATTCATTAGTGTTAATCAACATCTCGTGTCCCGTACGGATCAGAATTTAATCTTGGATCTAGACAATCGTGTTAATTATATTACCTCGCATTTAGTTATTAATATTCATTAGTAATATTCAACATCTTATATTCTGTTCGAAAAAAAACCCACCATAAAACTAGACAATCGTACGAGTTTAAGTGTATCGCATGGGCAATACGAAGCGATTATGACCTTTGAACTCTACCCGCGCAGTGTTGTAACCTAGCAACGAGACGCTCACCAGGATACTACAATATTTACATAACCTTAATATTTCGGATAAGATTTTAGAAAAACAAAATTCGTTAAACAAACCACCACTTGTCTCGCTATCAAGCCAGTGTTTTAGGGGGTATAGTGTCTCGCTATTCAGCCTGTGTATTAGCAGTGTTTTAGGGAACATATTGCCCCATTTTTATACAAAACTCTCAGAAATGCAGCTTTTTTAGCAATCTAGCTACTTATGCTGAGATTGAATTTCGCTTGATTGATCACACTCAGCTGCATATTATGTAAAACTTAAATTTTTATTATACATGTACAACGAACACATTTCCATGGTTATAGATATGGGCAAACTATTTTAGGGAAAACCAGTTGGGGTAGCCTAAAGAAAGCGGAAGAAAGCTAAATTGAATAACTTTAATCTTTTGAAATGCTGCAATCTACCGTTATGTAGACCTCAACTTCGAAATATTTTCCCATCAGGGGTCCAACATTTTTATCCTTGATATATATCTGTGAACTAGAATAAAAGCAAAAATATGTTTTCAAAAGGAAGCCTACCTTGAAAAAAGTCTTCATAATAACGAAAAAAGTCGACTTTTAAAAACAGATACAAGTTAAAGGAATAGAATGGTTCCTGCTAAGCGAAGGTACATTAGGGTCTAACAGATTTCACGTCGGACCGTTATGCAGGTGTTACCCGCAGGAATAAAAAGTCGATGTCTATGAGGTTTAAATCAACGTTCGATAAAAGCGCCATTCCCCCACGTTGCTTTAATGCAGAAAGGGAGAGAAGTCACCTCTGTCGAAACATTGACCCCGCCTAACCTTCACCACGTTTCTGTTTTGAACCTGCTATTATGTCATTATCTGAAGGTGTCATATTTTACCGAGAGTTGTTCTAAAGCCCTAAAACGTCTAACACAGTTCCCAATACATCAGGATAGGTCAAACCATGCTTAAATAAGTTGTTTCCCGAGTTTGTTGCTAACCCGATGGGATCGTGTCTACCTGTGTCTGGCTACAATGACACACTACGCACGCGCAATAAAACACGTAATGCCTTAAAATGATATATGACGTTTGCTGTCTGAGAATAATACAAGGTCAATCAGGGTTGGACAATCTATTTTTAGAGAATGTAATCGTCAGACAAAGTATATGTGCTTGTGTTAAAAAGGAAGGAGACAGAAAGTCAGGAAAAAAAGAATGGTTATTTTTAAATGATAAAATATAATATTTAGGGAAACAATCGGTCTCAAGGATACACTTAGTCTATTAGATACACTCGGTCACTAGGATACACTCTGTCTTTAGGATACACTCAGTCTGTTAGATACACCCGGTCACTATGATACACTCTGTCTCTAGGATATACTCAGTCTGTTAGATACACCCGGACACTAGGATACACTCTGTCTCTAGGATATCCTCAGTCTGTTAGATACACCCGGTCAGTAGGATACACTCTGTCTCTAGGATATACTCAGCCTGTTAGATACACCCGGTCACTAGGATACACTCTGTCCCTAGGATATACTCAGTCTGTTAGATACACCCGGTCACTATGATACACTCTGTCTCTAGGATATACTCAGCCTGTTAGATACACCCGGTCACTAGGATACACTCTGACTCTAGGATATACTCAGTCTGTTAGATACGCCCGGTCACTAGGATACACTCTGTCTCTAGGATATTCTCAGTCTGTTAGATACACCCGGTCACTAGGATACACTCTGACTCTAGGATATACTCAGTCTGTTAGATACGCCCGGTCACTAGGATACACTCTGTCTCTATGATATACTCAGTCTGTTAGATACACCCGGTCACTATGATACACTCTGTCTCTAGGATATACTCAGCCTGTTAGATACACCCGGTCACTAGGATACACTCTGTTTCTAGGATATACTCAGTCTGTTAGATACACTCGGTCTCTAGGATACACTCTGTCTCTAGGATATACTCAGACTGTTAGATACACCCGGTCACTAGGATACACTCTGTCCCTAGGATATACTCAGTCTGTTAGATACACTCGGTCTCTAGGATACACTCTGTCTCTAGGATATACTCAGACTGTTAGATACACCCGGTCACTAGGATACACTCTGTTTCTAGGATATACTCAGTCTGTTAGATACACCCGGACACTAGGATACACTCTGTCTCTAGGATATACTCAGTCTGTTAGATAACCTCATCCTATTAGATACACTCAGTGTGTAATGTACACTCTGTATGTAAGATCACTCGGTCTGTTAGATACATCCGGTCTGTTAGATACACTCGGTCTCTAGGATACACTATGTTTCTAGGATACACTCAGTCTGTCAAATACTCTCAGTCTATTAGATACACTCAGTGTGTTATGTACACTCGGGCTGTTAGATACACTCAGTGTGTAATGTACACTCTGTATGTAAGACCACTCGGTCTGTTAGATCACCTGGTATGTTAGATACACTGGGTATGTTAGATAAACTCAGTCTGTTAGATCACTTGGTACGTTAGATACACTCGGATTGTTAGATACACTCGGCATGTTAGATAAACTCGGTCTGTCAGATCACTTGGTATGTTAAATACACCCGGATTGTTAGATACACTCATAACATACCGAGTGTATCAGATCGAGTGGATCTAACATACCGATTGTATCTGACATACCGAGTGATCTAACAGACCGAGTTTAACTTACATACCGAGTGTATCTGGCATACCGAGTGTATCTAGCATACCAAGTGATCTAAAAGAACAAGTTAATATAACATACCGAATGTATCTAACATACCGATTGTATCTGACATACCGAGTGATCTAACAGACCGAGTGGACATAACACACTGAGTGTATCTAATAGACTCTCAGTCTATTAGATTCACTCGGTCTAAAGGATATATCCAGACTGGTAGATACACTCGGTATGCTAGATACACTCGGATTGTTAGATACACTCATAACATACCGAGTGTATCTGGCATACCGAGTGTATCTAATAGACTCTCAGTCTATTAGATACACTCGGTCTAAAGGATATATCCAGACTGTTAGATACACTCGGTCTCTAGTATACACTCAGTGTGTTATGTACACTCGGTCTGTTAGATACACTCAGTCTAATAGATACGCTCGGTCTCTAGGATACACTCTGTCTCTGGGATACATCCGGTCTCCAGGATACACTATGTTTCTAGGATACACTCAGTCTGTCAAATACTCTCAGTCTATTAGATACGCTGTCTGTTAGATAAACTCGGTATGTTATATCACTCGGTATGTTAGATACACTCGGTCTGTTAGACACACTCGGATTGTTAGATACACTCGGTATGTTAGATACACTTGATCTGTTAGATACACTGGGTATGTTAGATATACTCGGTATGTTAGATACACCCGGTCTGTTAGATACACTCGGATTGTTAGATACACTCGGTCTGTTAGATAAACTCGGTCTGTTAGATCACTCGGTATGTTAGATACACTCGGATTGTAAGATACACTCGGTCTGTTAGATAAACTCGGTCTGTTAGATACACTCGGTCTGTTAGATAAACTCGGTCTGTTAGATACCCTCGGTCTGTTAGATAAACTCGGTCTGTTAGCTCACTCGGTATGTCAGATACACTCGGTATGTTAGATACACTTGATCTGTTAGATACACTCGGGATGTTAGATAAACTCGGTCTGTTAGATCTCTCGGTATGTTAGATACACTCGGATTGTTAGATACACTATGTTAGATATACTCGGTATGTTAGATACACTTGATCTGTTAGATACACTCGGGATGTTAGATAAACTCGGTCTGTTAGATCACCTCGGTATGTTAGATACACTCGGATTGTTAGATACACTATGTTAGATATACTCGGTATGTTAGAAACACTCGGTCTGTTAGACACACTCGGATTGTTAGATACACTCGGTATGTTAGATACACTAGATACACTCGGTATGTTAGATACACTCGGGCTGTTAGATAAACTCGGGATGTTAGATACACTCGGTATGTTAGATATACTCGGTATGTTAGATACAGACTCGGTCTCTAGGATATACCCAGACTGTTAGATACACTCGGTCACTAGGATATACTAAGTCTGTTAGAGAAACCCGGCCTCTAGTATACGCTCAGCCTGCTAGATACATCCGGTCTCTAGTATACTCTCAGTCTATTAGATACACTCGGTCTCTAGGACATACCCAGACTGTTAGATACACTCGGTCACTAGGATATACTAAGTCTGTTAGAGAAACCCGGCCTCTAGTATACGCTCAGCCTGCTAGATACATCCGGTCTCTAGTATACTCTCAGTCTATTAGATACACTCGGTCTTTAGGATAT